AAATTAAAAATTGGAATGATTGAGAATTTGTGATATTGTAAATTTGAGAATTTATGAAATTGTGAATTTGAGAATTGTCAAACATGAAATCTAACAATTTGAGAATTTTTAAACATGAAATTTGAAAATTGAAAACAGAAAAATTGAAAAATTGAAAATAGAAAATTTGAAAACTGAAAAATTGAAAATTTGAAAATTGAAAAATTGAAAAATTGAAAATGTGAAATTTGAAAATTGGAAAATTTGAAAATTGGGAAATTGGAAAATTTGTAAAATTGTGAACTTGATGATTAAATACCTATACTTGTAAATTAAAAAATTGAAATGTAATATTTTCAAATTCTATTTCGATTAAATGACTCAGTTTTTCTAAAACACCGCATCTAACGGGCAAAGTAAAATCGGTAGATTGTAGCTTTTTCCGTGATATATGATTCCCGTTAGATAAGAAACGAATTGTCGCCTCTGGAGACTTGAAGTTGTTCGTTTCTTTAGACGGTGAAGGAAATTACATTGAAATTCAGTCAGTGCTTTTAAGAAAATGCCGTTTTCTTTATTCTAATCTTGTATCGTTTTCGATTAATTATTTTGTAGCGGTATTTAATTAGTTGTCACTAGATTTATAGCCCTTCGATGAATTCACTTATTTTCTTTTTTTAAGTAATGTAGAAATATAAATAAAGGATGATAAATTTAATATATTCAGACAATTTAATTTAATTTAAATCTAGCTAAGTTATAAAACAAAAGAATCATAGTAAAAACTAAATACATATGTATAATGTAAAACCTACATGAATATTTTGCGGAATATTTTACGTAAAAAAGGACAAGGAACGGTCGAAACGTTCTGTCGACCGAGCGTTTACGGAAACGTCCGAACGCCCGAACGTAAACAAACAGCAACACACCTGCGGAACAATCCTAATGCAAGAATAATACTGTTTACTTTCGATTTTTTTTATTATAGGACTTACCAACGTACTTGTGACATTTTCCCGATTAAAATGAGACCAAACACAGCGTAATTACAAGCATATTTACTTCTAATTTCAAGCGATTAATTTATAAGGAAGCTTTATTGTAATAAGGTCGCGGTAAACGAAGTAATGACACTTCGGGTAACTTCGTTTCCCTTCGATGGTATTCGTATAACCACGTGATACAACACTCCGCTTCAATCGTATAACCATTGAATTTATCTTACAATATTTTGACAAGTTTTAATTTCAAATGAGAAAAAGAAAAAGAATTTAAGAAGTAATTTAAAATGAGAAAAAGATCCATCATCCTACTATTAAAGGAACTATATATAATTTAAAACGTTTTGACATAGAATTCACGGTTTTGACGTTAAGTTATCGGTTTCAATAATAACGGAACGCAAACTGATGATTAATTATAACGCCTATCAATTTGTCACGGTTTGATGCGTTATTAGCCACGGTTGTTTGTCGATGATCGTAAAATGACCGTAATTATTGTAGTGGTGACGAACGAAACCGTAAAGTCACTGTTGCGAATTCCGCCACGGTTCTGGTAGCAGCAATAATTTAATGTCGCGATATCGTTGCGGTCGTGTGACGAGGGTGATAATTTCAATATCGATGCACCCTGAACTCTGTAAACCGTATTTAGAAACGTAACACCTCGATCTAATCGCAGCATATTCAATTACAGAGCCCTGGCTCGTTCTCGCTACCTTGTACGTCGACTTAATCAATTTATCCTGAGAAATTGCCGCAGACGAGTATTCATGTAGCTTCTTTGACGTGCAATCCAAATTTCAATGAAATTAGACCAAACTTGAAAGTAATACTCGCACTGCTTTGAGATATAAGGTGAACAGAAACAAAACTTCAAATAGATGTAAATAACTTAAATTTCAGTGACGTTATGGGTTGTTTAGTCGTTCATATAAATTCCAAGATGGCGTCGCTGGGCTACTTTTATTAGTACTGAGGTAACCCAAAATAATCTTCCATTTTTTTTTATTTTCATTTTTATTTTATTTTTACTAATATTTATTTCTTCAACAAATATTCTCGTCCTCTTAATGAGTTAATATTTTAATATTAATGAGTTCATATTTTTTTAAATTAATTTGCTACTTTTTTCTTCATTTTTCAGATATCAAATTTTCATACACTTTATGTACAGTTTACATTTTAATATAATTTAATTAAGGTACAATTGAATTAATTATAATTACAATTAGTTTCTGCAATGATTTTTTTTGCTATCCAAAAGTTCATTTTTGTTTTTAATTATAAATTTTCATAAAACTTGCCTGTTAATTAAAATAACACTTATATAAATTACTCTTAATAATTAAAGCTAATTATTAAGTAAAGCTAAATATGAATTCACTGTCTATTCACCCCAACGCTTTTTCTTTGTCAAAGAAACATATAAAGTTAAATTATAAAAAAAATGTGAAGCACAGTAATTAGACCAAGACCTATATTTTAAGGTATTCAGAACGTCTCTCTTCGAGTTTGTACCAGAAACTTTTTACGGAGAAGTTTTTCTGCTCATCTCATTTCACGGAAACTGGAAGTCATAAGGAAGGTTCGCGTTTTGTTATATCCTAAATTTGAATATTCAACGTGCACGGTATTCTTCTTATACAAGATAAAATAAAATTAAACAAATAGTGTTTTTAATAAACAATTTGAATACACTTACAAAATTGTAAATAATATTTTCAGTTGTTGTTCAAATTTTAATAATGTTAACATGCTTAGTACCTTCACTTTTAATTATAGCAATGTACCACAATTTAAGTTACAATTTTGAATTACAATAATAGTATTTTATTAAAATTTGTAAACTTACCAAGAATTTGTAAATTTACCAAAATTTCTACGTCCCAAATCGGAAACTCTATAAGTATTTATCTAACGGCAGTCTCCGTACCCGACTGCACGAACTTTTCTTGAAAACATATTATGACTCGTTCCACGATCGTATCAAGAAAATGTATTTTCTTAATAAGCTCGTTCAGAAAAGCTGCTGATACATCCGTAAAGCGTGAAGGTATTATTATGAGGTCGCTGGTTCACCCTCGCGATGTCATAAATTCAAATTAAGCGACGATTTATGCGTGGCGTAGTCAAGCCATGAGAGTATTGATTTCAGCTTGAACAGACTATGGCGTAGCTTTAATTATTCCCTATTATTTACGATAATGGTACCATTCTCTCATTATTGGTCGAAATTGATTGAATACGTTTTTGCCATGGACAGAAAATTTCATTTTGTTGACGGTGTACTGAATTTCAACCTGTAATATTTATTAATATGTTGAGTAATTTGTAATTGCAATAAGCTCTGTCTGACATTTTCAATATTGCAAAAGGATGCATTTTTAAACGCGCTGGTAATATTAATAACGAGATAGCAATAAACTTGAGTTATCACAGATATAATATAGAAGGTGTTCCAGCTTTTTATGTTCCAGAATGTATTTCATATTTGAAATAAACTTTGACAAGTAAATAAATACAAATTCGTTAAATACAAAGTTTTCAGGCATAAAATTAATTCAATCTGATGCAGCCTCATCTTTTATTCAAAACGTTATAATGCGTCATCCATTATCATTATAATTCGTCTGGAACGTGGCTTAAAATTAAAAATCCTTGTCAGATTCCATTACTGATTGCGCAACGAAAATCTAAATGGATATTGTAATTAGTAGTTGATCGATGCAGCTATCGTGTATTCGATGCGATAATAGCAGATATTATATGCATTTGCGATTCCCAGTTGACTCCTCTTACGGAAGATGACCGACCGGAAGTGTCAATTAAACTGATCTCTTTCGTTCTGTTCTTTTTGCTTGATTCTCCCATGCATCGTTTGCTGCGTCCCGGCGTGGGTTATACAGGCTCATTCTAGAAATGAAGCATGTTACTGCACTTTTTAACTTCTTAAAGTGGTGTTTTGGTCAGTAAAGGCAAGGACAGTAGATGGTTTCCAAAAATGTGCAAAAATGCAACTTCGTTTCGCCAGGATTAAAATTTTTAAACTTCAAATTTCTTAATTTTTAAATCACCGAATCTTAGATTTTTTAATTTCTGAATCCCTAAATTTCTAAACTTGCAGATCTTCGAATCTTCATGTTACTAAGTTTTTAAATTTTCAAATTTTCGATTCTTCGATCTCCCAAGATGACAAATGTCCAAACTTATAAATCTACTAATCAAGATGGACGTGACCCTCGACACTTAACCTCTTAGGCACAATGCGCCACTATAGTGGCTTTCGCGGATACAGTCTCTCTGTACGACGGTCCACTATAGTGGCTTTCGCGAACGTCATCGTAGATTACATAGCGTCCTGGCTCACTCTACTGACTCGCTCACCGTTTCAATTGAATGATCGTTTTCATATGTTTTGATTCGCACTTTTTTTGCCTTCACCACGTTTTATGAGTATTAACAAATCCCACAAAAGTACATTACATATAAATAAAATGTAACGCCAAGTTTAGACACCATGGGGCACCTCTTTGCACTAATACGATATTGGAAACATTTGAAAATTACATATTTTGTGAATTTTCGAAAAAGTAAATTATCAAAGTTAAAGCATATCTTTGGCAAAAATTTAATCGTCTAAAACCAGTTCCTAGAATCACCCTGTATAACATTCTTAACATCCACCATGACTCATCGGCGACGCTTTTTTATTTTCTGACGGGCTAGGAGCTCGCCTAATTGTAATTTGCATACGATTAGGGATCCAAACGAAATTAATTTCGGGGGAACAGGATATTAAAGTGTGCACTCGTGGTGCTGCTCGTCGTAATTGAAGTTCTTTGATTAATTTATTTGATATGAAAATTATATAGAGATTTGATTGAAATTTGATGAGATATTGTAGAAATGAATGTGAAGAAAAAATCGTATACATATTATAAATTATAAAGTATAAATCGAAGTTAATGTTTTTATTGATTCATTGTCATAATGAAATTTTTGTTATTTTTTTAGGTATGTATTAGCAGTATGGTCATTTATGGTTTTCCCGAATGAAGTTTTACAAGTGTTGTCCTGGCATCTGGGTCCGCTGTTTTACACAACGGTATAGTAAAATTAATTTCCATACGTTTAAACTTTTTTTTACTTTACTTAATAATGTTTAATCATTTTTATGCATGATGCCAGACTTTTTAAAAAGTTTCAAGTATAGTATATGAATATAAATAATAGACAAATTTCATGTACATACATATGTTCTTAAATATTTCATAATCAATATCTCAAATACATAATACATATTTTGGAGCCGAATTAATGAACTATAAATCGTTGTTCATTTATCAATGGAGAATGGATACAAGGAAATAATAATACTATAAAATATGCCCCTTCCAGATAAGGAAGTTCTACAGTATTATATAAAATCACATATATCAAAAACAAAGGGTAAATGAACTATTGACAAGGAGCATATCTGAATAGCATAGCCTCTGTGAGAAATGGGTGCAGAGGTTAAAGGGTTATTAATCTGTTTCTGTATTACAAGTCGATTTTTAGTATGTAGTACAGAAAGGCATATTTATAGACGTTGAATTTTATACTAATAAAAATAATTCGCAAATTCTTAAATTTCTAAATTTCTAACTTCGAAAATTCTCAAATTTCCAAATTTCTATATTCCCAAATTTCTAAATTTCTAACTTAAAAAATTCTGAAATTTCCAAATTTCTAAATTTCTAACTTAAAAAATTCTCAAATTTCCAAATTTCTATATTCCCAAATTTCTAAATTTCTAACTTAAAAAATTCTCAAATTTCCAAATTTCTATATTCCCAAATTTTCAAATTTCTAAATTTCCATATTCCCAAATTTTCAAATTTCTAAAATTAAAAATCTGATCGGCAAAATATCGAGACTCCACCAATATTCACCTTACGCAAATACGAACGTATAACACACAATAGGCATAGAGTAACGTCTAGTGAGCGCATTTCTATAGTTGTAGAATTTGAACTTTAAACGTAATGTGAGTGTTATTTACCCTGTAATGTATGAATGAAGTCTAAAGAAGATAAACGGTACTAGGTGTATTACTCACCGGTACACATTTTCTACCAGCGTGAATGCGTATCTGTTACAAAGTACGAGTACGAGAAAGAAACTCGAGATACACTGTAGTCAACTTCATAGCCTGACAACTTACAAAGGAAAGTATTTTGCTTTGTACATTCAGGTGCAATATAATAAGCTTCACTTTAGGTGAAAGCAAATATGTATTTTTTAATAATAATATTGATATGTTTATGCATTTTTTAAGGTTCTAGTTTATGAAGTCTCAATTTTTCAAATTAAATTTTGTTGACTTTTAAATCCCACATTTACTAATTTTTTAATTTTTCAATTTTTTAATCTGTAATTTATAAAGTTTCTAATCTTTCAAATTTTTAATTTTTCAATTTTTCAATTTTTCAATTTTTCAATTTTTCAATTTTTCAATTTGTAATTTTATCATTTTTCAATTTGCAATTTCTCAATTTTTCAATCTTTCAGTATGTCAATTTTTTAAATTTTCAATTTTTCAATTTTTCAATTTGTAATTTTATCATTTTTCAGTTTGCAATTTCTCAATTTTTCAATCTTTCAGTATGTCAATTTTTTAAATTTTCAATTTTTCAATTTTTCAATTTGTAATTTTATCGTTTTTCAGTTTGCAATTTCTCAATTTTTCAATCTTTCAGTATGTCAATTTTTTAAATTCCTAATTTTTCAATTTTGCATTATTCTATCTTTTAATTTGCAATTTTTCAATATCTCAATTTTCCATTGTTCAAATTTTCTAATTTTCAATTTTTTAAATTCACAAATTCTAAATCTGAAGTAGGTCAAATCTAAGATCTCTTCTCTCTTGACTATATCATTCCTAAAGAGCTTTACTCTTGACTGTACAAGACAGCCAGTATTTTTCATGTTTATATACAGCTATTTTAATTCTGCCGTGACTCTTTCTATTTCATTGTTTCTGCTTTCCATTTTCCGTTGTGTTCTTCCCTTTTGTGGAGTCCAACACCTGACTCCGCGTACAACGGCCGCAGAAGTTTATACATACTTTCCTTCTATATTTCCCGCAGTTTAATTTTCCTGTTGCTGTTTTCTTTTGTGCCGTCGCTTTGTCACATCCTCGCGAAACTGTTAAATCAGTTTGTTTTCTGGATACTCGAGTTCTCAGGTGCTTCTGAAGAACGTATGGCGGGGTGTTATGGTTTTAAAAGTTTTCCAATATGGCGGACTTATTGGTGGCTGATTTCAATCATCTTTACAATAATTATCATACAAATTTTTTCTTTTATTGATATAATTAACTTATTTTTTACTTATCTTAAATTAGAGCAAAATAATTAACTTATTTTTTACTTATTTTAAATTTTAACTTATTTTATTTTTAATTCATGTTTTATCATGTGATTGTTTATATCCCTATTTTATTTTTAAATTTACTGAGACAAGTTTCGAACGTGTAATTTCACAACTAATTTCATTTAACATATTGTAACATATTGTAAATTAATATGAAAATTAATATTAATTTATTAGTGAAATTTTTGCTGTTTCACAAGGATATTATTTTCTTTTGCTGCAAATTATCGTTTTTCCTCGAATTTCCTCTAGCAGAATGATTTAATCATTGCCAAGAAATTTAGTTGTTTCGTTTGATTGAAAATTATGGCACAGAGTTTCTGGAATAATTTCTTCCAAGCGATAACATCTGCGAAAGTTTAGAGTAGGGGCATTACAGTGGCGGTATACCGTGCAAGTATGCACTTTATCTTATGTGAGATATATTACCCACGATATGCTGACAACACCTTGTCCGTAACGTTTTCATTTTGCGTTCCATTATGAAAATCACGTATGATCTAATGCAGTTTATGTTACCTATGATTATCATTTTGTTTTACTTTATCTTTACTTTAGTCCCTCGTCTTTTGAATTCGTTTACTGCTTCAAATGTACAGCGTGTAATTTACGTATGTATGTAATTTACAGCGTTGCGTAACAAATTACACTGAAAGGCGTGGTTAACTTTCTTGGAAAAAATGGCGATTGCAGTGGACAAAATTTTGAAAATAACTGTGCAGTTATTCAAAAGTAATTTCTACAGTATTACGACAAATAAAATACAATTAAAAAGCACAGAGTAGGCGACAGTCTTAGAAACGACACTCTCTGTCGGCACCTTTGATCTCTCGAAAACTGTCCCTTTAAATTGGTCGTACAAACAAGCGGGAAATTTAAATCGAGCAAATCTACTTTCATGTCAATCTCCAATAATTTGGAATATATTTGTAATAAATTTTCTGTATATTACTAATATCGTCTTTCGAGGTATTTTTATCAATTTTACGGCGTTGAAAAGTTGGAAAGAAAAGAATATACCAAAATGATTGCTCTACAAAATATATTTGAAGAATATGTATTACGGAAATGATTATTACAAATAACTTGTAAGAAAATGAAAAACTATATATCACAAGAAATTACAGATGAATGTGTTACAGAGATATAACAAAATATTTATTAGAAACAAATTACTGGTGAATATGCAGGTTTAAACTATTCTTTTTCGACCGGCATACTTCTGCGCTGTGCACATGCGCACCCCCGATTCTTTTGATTTGGGCATTTAAATTGATCTTCTGTCTCTAGGAGGAAGGTTTCCTTGTCTAGTGTCGTCTCATATATCTACTCTTTGATGTAAGTCTAGTTTGTTGCATTCGAACAGTAATGTGCGTCACAAGTGTATGAATATGCGTCACGAGGCATGGGGTAAGGAGGAGGAATTTGTAGGCTAAGGAGTTAAATCAATTTCGCGTGCGTAAACTTGTTTCATGTAGTTAATATGTAAAAGTATATTTTCTAAATAAACCACCTTTTCATCGCAATCGTCTTTCATCACAGATTACTATGTACGCACAGATTACCTATTATGTAAACACCAACGGTGTAACCCCGTAAGAACTACCGGTTCCCGTCAGATCACCGAAGTGAAGCACGGTGGGCGCGGTTTGCGAATAAGGATGGGTGACCGAAAGGACTCAGATTGCGAGTAATGATGTCTCACCCCTCCTTATTCAAATTGGCCGCGTACTGTTGGTGTTTGTGGTTCCTTAACACCTCTGTTGTTGGAAGAGTGGCGTCTTCGGAAGGTCGGCAACAGAGAGTGCCTGCCCCCAAACCAAATATTCGAACCAAAGAGAAAAATCCCGGGTAGCTTATCCGAGGCGGCTACGCCGGGGACAGCACAAAATTTTAATAAAAACCCCCTTCCTTCTTAATTCAGTGGTAACAAACAAATGGAAGGGGTATGTTATAAATAGTAATTCAAAAACATATTTTGAACCTGTGTTAAAATGATGCTCTCACGATGAGTTTGACTTTCAAATATTTTAATACTTTTCAATTTGAAGAAATTTTAATTCAAAGTTTGAGTCCAATTTACAAAGTCAAGGATTCTTGTCGAGTGTGGCACGACATCGCACTTCTCTTGAATCTTATAAATAAATTGGTCCAACATATTTTCATTAATTTACTACTTATAATAAATGAAAAATGTATTTGTCACATACTCGCGCTATTACAACTCACTTAACGAAGAAACCCTTTCTGGATCTATTTTATAAATGAAAGACTTGATAGGTAAAAGAAACTAAGAAGTGAAAAGGATTAAAGTTCCGTTATTTTAATATTGTAGATACGAATATTGACTGACGCACCTGCAAATAAAAAAAACTATCTTAGTTACGCTATTTTCCTTAGGGAAAGCAGATCGACTATACCTCAGAGAGGAATAGATAATACTTAACCAGCCGGTTTAAGAGGAGCTCCGGTCGAGAACTACTCGATAAGATCGTTAATTCGAGCTTCCGTCGGATGGGAATTGAATTATGTAAATTCTCGTAGGCTGCGTCCATTCCAGACGACCGAAATTCTCGATGATAGCATCCCTCTATTCCGTATAATCTCGGATTCTCCTACTTCCGTGAACAGAAGGTGTAGCTAGTTTCGAATCCCGGCTGAATACCCCTCCTTCACGTATTTAAATTA